TTTACAAGGGCTAATTTTGCATTTTTAAATAATATTTAAAAAATTATTTTATATAATTTAACAAAAATGAACAATTCATTTGCTCCTTTTTATAACGCCAAAATGCAACTTCATTCGAACAATTTTTTTGTCGCGCCCCCCCCCCCCCCGCCGCCCCTCGGTACGCCACTGGTGCTCACAAAAGAATTATGTTTACTGCACACAGCTAAACCACGTAAGTGATAACAAGGGAACGATACTCGGTGTCCGTGACCTTTTGAGATAAAACATTCATCATTAGAGTCGGGTTCGAGCGCTGATTCCGAATCTGAATTCCGTTTCTGCTAATCGTTTCTCTGAAAAAAGTTATAAAGGATTTTTGCGCCAAGGGAATATGGTCGAAATGCCGAAACAGCCCTACGATGTGGTGTGTGGCTAGTGCGATAGCCTCACGAGTTATTGCAGGTTTAGGTTCGAGTCCTTTTGTGTTATTCAATTTTGCATTGCTCCAATCAAGCTTCTTTTCAAAAGTTAGGCATCCTCGACCGTATTTTTCATGGGCAACCATTGACGCAAAATCCCTCATAACTTCTTTCAGAGAAACGATTAGCAGAAACGGAAGTGAGGTTCGAATTCAGCGTTCCAAGGCGAGTGTGGTGGTATAAGTTTCAGCTCAAAAGGCCACCGACACCAAGTATCGTTTCTTTGTAAGTAACAAAATCTACTGCACTGCCACCATGGCGACATAATGAAAATTAGTGCACAATCAGGAAGTGCCTCAGAATGAGCTGGGTGATCTGGAGTAAAATGCATATCATTAGATGTGTCTTGTTAAGGTGATCCCAAATTTGCCTGCATACCCACCACTATTTTAGAGGGACACAGTAGTTGATTTCATTCAGCCTGCACTCATGTGCTCCAAAAGAATTCTTATAGCCCGGCGCTCAGAGCATTATAGCAGTTACCGACAAATCGAGGTTGCGTTTGATTTTCTACGAATTATATAGGAGCCAAATGGGAAAGCCACTTCAAACAACACTTTCCTAATCAGATAGAAAAGAGCTAATCATTCCCCTTCACCCCCACGCCCCACCATAGCTCGTTTCATGTACACAATGGTAGAACTTAGGGCTTGTTGCTCTCTGGGTCTTCATCGGTACAACCACTATCCCCTTTAGAGCACTATACGTACCACTGCTCTTGAAGAGAACAAGCTGCCATCAAGAGGCAATACAAACTTCGGGAAAATTCATGGAATTCAACCAGTAATAGTTCCTGCATTCCTGCGGTAATTGCTGGATGACCAATGTGCTGCAAAGTCTGGTAGCGAGAAAATCATTGTTGTCTTGAGTCATCGAAGAGGTATTTCCATTAGGGCATGATATGTGGATTGCATTTGTTGACGATATCAACATATCAAATTCCATAATCTATGGAATTTGTGTTACTACGCAATACATTCGTCGCTTATCAAATTTAGTTTGATCTGGACAATCAAGAAGTGAAGGTGCGTGCTGCGGATTGTTTTGATCACACAGAAATAATCTGTGAATGGTTAACAATCTCATATTTTTCATAAACAAGCTTTCCTGTCCATCATATAGGACTAGAAGTAGGACGCTACAGTTGTGAGAATAGAAAGGGAAACAACAAAGTCAGAGTCTCACGTTGCCTTACCGGTCAATCTTACCGTGATCCAAGTGCAGTGAACTCACATCCATGACAGTGTCCTCTTCCAACAGAATGTGTCACATCAAAATATTCTACACAGTTCTAAAACGGAATTAATACGTCGTAATCTTCGAGCGTTTACGACACAGAATTTGAATACGTTATTCTATGCAAATCCTGGAACCCGTCGAATCACCGCCGTAACAAACCCGCTCACATCTTTCTGTTGGTATGTATTGATTAATGTGTAGCGGTAAGTTTATGCTACTTATACTAAGAGTTCTGATTTCAAAAATGCTTGTCGTAAATTTTTATTTGTTTTTTCTGCACTATAATGTTAGATCGAAGAACATGCACATATGGAAGGAATTCAAACAATAATGCGGCAAGCAATTTATGATGACATTCCGGCCAATATCATTACGTAAAGACGGTCAATAATGTGGGCATATATGATGAACAACGAAGGTGTTGACCATCCTTACAGTTACTATTATTTCATAAAGAGTTTAATATTGAAAAGAAATCTATCCAATGGCTGCCTCCGATAACTTTAATTAGACACTTTATTATCTTCACCATGTATTAGGATGAACTAGTCGTCTTTGAAGTACCAATTAACCAAGCATTTTTCAATCAGTACGTTTGATCTATTGAAATAAAGTTGTCTGTTGATTTGCTTCATGTATTGCCAATGTCCGTGCTTCATAAAATGAATCAGCAGCCATTCGAAGTCATTAGATCGAATGTAGAATAGTTCAATGTCACATTTCTTTCCGAGCCCTGTTTTATTACTGCTATGTGTTTTACGCTACTGTTCATATTCGTTTACAATGAAGTGCTTCTACTTGAAATTGTTAATGACAGATAAGTCAGTCAAAAGTGCCCATCCATGATTTTTGGGCTAGCTAGCTTCTCCTCCTCATTCAAAGTTTTTGAATTCTTTTTTGGAACCCTTACTTTTCGTAAAATTGGACTGACAAGTGCAGCATGAAAGAACTATAACAAGCCGTTTAGAGGAGTTCTCTGGCTTTTGCTGTCCCAAAATTTGTTGAAAAAAGACGTGTTCAGCTTTGTTTATTAAAGATGAAATCAAAAATAGACGAGCTGAAGGAAATCCAGAATGACGAGCCCAAAACTTTTTTTGGAAGGATTAAGCATAAATAAGTGTTCTCTACATAACTTATGGTTCTGCAGAAATTGGTTTTTGAAGAACTGAAAGACTTTTGACATTGAACAGTCTTCGATTTGGTAATTATTCCTTCTCCAGCTGCAAGATATAACAGTACTGATGATTTCGATGGAATTATTTGGAGTATATAGCATTGCTACTCAAATACACGACGGTTTGAAACAGTTACTATCCACCTAATTGTAAGAAATAGATATAAAATGTTAACATGAAAGTTAACACATCCTTGCAACCACGAAAACCGCGTACTTTTCAGCTTCTTTTTGTCTAGGGTAGCTGATCATAACCCTGTAAATCATAAGCAAAATTTCAACTTTACACGAAAGCTAGACCAAAAAATGAAAACAAATTCTTTTAGATACTTACGATTGGATCTAGCACAGGTTTCCATGCCTTTCTCGGATGAAGTTTGCTTCTCCTCACTTCATATGTAGTAAAATCAGTTGCATGAATCATCCAAAGATTGATTCTATCGCCTTGAGTTTCCAATTCCTTTGTATCCACCGCTCATCCACCGCCTAGTAAAAAGATTTTTGAGGTCCGTAAGAAATTGTGGAGGAATCAAGATATTTTCCGTATTTCTACGGCAAAGTTTGCACAAGCACGAGTAATAACAATGATCACAGTCCATAACGGCGTGACAACTTTTTCCTTGTTTGCGCCCTCTGCAAGCTTTTTTTCCTACGAAAAATCCTATTATATCGCGTTTTAGTAAACACTACATTGGCGCCTAAAATAGAAGTTGAGGGGCCCCATACAGACGTAACGGAAGTCAGACAGTCTCTCAAATAAGGGACACTTTCGCGCAAATAACGCACAATACCCGATCGGTTGGCCTTTTCGTTGTGATCTGTCTTTCAAGGTTTTGCTTTTAGTAGATTAGTAAATCTTTATATTTCGCACACATTGATCAAGTACTCCAAGAGTTTACGATTCACGAGTCAGCTTCATACCTTGTTTACCAAACAATTTTGTGTTATGAAGTTTTATTGAGTCTGTATCAAAGAACGCCATGCACAAACGTCTCTTTTATACTTCCTTTCTAAGAGCACCCTTTGTGCAATGTTTACACTTCCATTCGGGATTCACCTAACAGTTCGCATACAGTCATGCCTTGCTCCGTCTCTACCTTGTACTGCCGTTGTCGTCAACTAAGAAATTTCATAAGACTGTTAGACTGTACTACAACAATAATCAACTATTTACTTTTGAGACCAAATAAGGGCCTTTCCTCAATTTGTCTTCGCTACCGTCTCTATTTACTTTACCATTTTCAACACAATAAAGGTCAAAAGATCATACTACCTCTCGTTTGCAAACTTTTAAAGGTAGCGCGCACTCTTCTCGAGTATAAAAACAACATGAGCCCAAATACGTGCAGTTCGTGAAGTGCTTTTTTCGGAATATCTTCACCATTTTTTTTTTCGAAATTACCATTTGTTGTGTGAAACGACTTTCTAATGCTTTCTAGGGTTGGGATAAGTTTTTTTCAATTTATTCAACCGACTTAACATCCAAATTAATCAATATTGAATTTGATTTGATTGTAAGTAATTTTTTACCTACCTTTTGTTCAACTAGCTGACTTTTGCGATTGTTTCACAAGAGCGATGTAGGCGAAAGAAATGCTGCCAAATGTACGTATTTTTATCTGTGATTCATGGAAATCATGCTTTTATTGGGCAAAAAAACAATTTCGTCTCACTCTGTTTTCTCGTAATCTGTGCGAAACCTATTTGTTTTTCTGAGCAAAGAACGCCTATAAAGAAACTTCAATCATTATAGACGTGTTCGTGTCTCAATTTATGCGTAAAAGGACATTGATCTGCTGTTAAACCTGAGAAAATTGTTTCTGGTGTGAATATCATCGCTTGCGAACAAAGGCGATTGGAATTTCACTTACAAATAAAATAAAATATGAAGTATCAAAGATGGACAACAACGAAATGGTTAAACCCGATCTATGCAAAATTGCTCAAGAATTAACATCTGTGCATTTAGAAGGCCTTCAAATGGATGCTTACTGTTTTCCAATTTCATATTATGAATTCATAATCAACTTCCTTAATTTGATTTCCCTTTTCTTTGACGAGAAATTCTCGCAAGGAGAAAAAGAGCTAGTTTTAGAGGGGTAAAATAAATGGGTTGCAGATGACGATCAATTACAACTTGGCTGTATCAACGTCAAAACCATGGACTCTGTTCAAATTGCTACTGAAATGGCGAGGAAGCATATGGAAAGCGGTGATGTTGGAGCTTGTTGTATGGCTGATGTTCTATGGAATTCTTAGCATTATCTATCGCACAGCTTTGTCGTACGATCAACAAAAGTATGAAACAAACACTTTTTCGTCTAGCATTTACCATAAAGTGTGTTACAGGACTTTCGAGAGGGTGGTGCTGTACTGTGAAGCTAGACTTACCTATATTCCACTGAATTTCATGTTAGGATTTTTCGTCACAGCAGTCGTTAATAGGTGGACGTATTTATACCAAATAATTGGATTTATAGATAAGTAAGTTGTAAGCCGTTTATTCGCAAGATGACTTTCAAATTCCATTCTTTCCGAATTCCCAATGAAATCCTAATTTTTATATTTTTATAGCAAACTTTCTTTACTGTATAACCATCGACCTTCCAATTGTGCTCAAGGGTAGACAGCTAAAATCAAAAATCTATCATAAATATTCGCATCTTAACCCTTACTCCGACAGGTTTCCAAAGTCTTCTAAGGATAGTCAACCATGGACATTCCTTGCTTGTCGCTACCGTTTATGCACATCATCGCCTGTTTACCGTTAGTGCGCCCAACAGTACTGCACATCGCATTGATGGCCACACTTTCCTTCCTTATAAAAAATCGATCCTTCAGAGCATTGATATCTGGGGGGCAGACCGAATGGGAAGGGGGCGGAGGGGGGGGGGGTAGGGGGAGGGGGATTACGCAAATCGTGGTCTGCATGATTTCTGAAAATTTGAAAGTGGCTTGCTTTGAATTGCTAATAATCAATAATTGAGATTGAAAATGAGTAGCGCTTTGAATTTAATTTTGAGGGCGTGTATGCACAAAAAAACTTTGGGAGCAGCCAAAGTCCCTCCCCTCGAAAAATATTTGTCATTTTCTTCCCCCCCCCCCCCTCTCTTGAATAACTTTGCGAAGCACCACTGCTGAGATGTGTTGTGTATGATTCTTTCTTTGCATGAGAATGCGGGAACGACTGCAGGTTAGTTGGAGGAAGTAGTAGAAAAGAGAATTTTTGCTATTGCACGTTAATTGTGCACTGAATTTTCTGGAAAGCTTGCAAATGTTTCTGGGCTGAAACTCCAGAAGAAAAGTGTAACTGACGCACTTCTCCAAACTTTTTCAACATACATAGTATTGATCTCAAAAACTTCGAAGTTTATTCATTTACTCTTTTGCTGAATTCAGCTCAGCGGTTGCCCCCACCCCGCTACTCTACAAGCTTGAAAAACTGGAAATGGTAAAAAGTTTTGGAGGGTTTGGGTAACATCCCGCCTTCCCACCCCCCCCCCCCCCCCGCACCCCCATTCCAGCCTGCTAAATTGTCTGGCACGCCACTGTAGTTTCAGCCAAGATAGTGTGTAGACTTTTATTAAGTTGTTGTTTTACAGTATCGGGTTAATGACAGCCGAGTACGTTCGAGGCAGGACAGAACAAGCTCGAATGTATCGAAGGAATATCGTGCGATATTGCGAACTGGCACAGGTTCTAGTCTTTAGAGATGTCAGTATGAGGACAAGGCGAAGATTCCCAACGCTAGACACTGTCGTTGCTGCAGGTAAATGGACAAACTGATTTTTAGAATCTTGCTGGTTTTTGGAAATCAAAGAAAAAGCAACGTAGAGTAATTGCTAGACTTAAATAACCCCTATTTTTCTGAAATTTCATTTCTTTTGCTTGAAGAAAATTGCTTTCCTTTAAGGATTCATGATGCCCCATGAGAAGGAGCGATTTGACGAAATTCAGTACCGCTACTCAAAGTACTGGCTTCCCTTTCAATGGGCCTTTGCTCTAACCTACGATGCACGCAAACTTGGACTAATCGAAAGTGATTACTACCAAGTAGTCATTCAGGAGGTAGTCAGTCCACACATTTAGATTCTGCCAAACCTCACAATCGAATATTTGCAGGAGATCAAAAAATTTCGAACTGGACTTGCATGGATTTGTAATTATGACTGGGTGCCGATACCAATAATGTATCCACAGTTAGTATGCCTAGCAGTTCATACATATTTCATTGTCTGCCTGCTCGCAAGACAGTACATTGTTTCTGAAGACTCGAACAGAAAAAGCGAGGTAAGGTTTCAGTCATGACAGCCAGGGCCTGGTGGTGATTATGCCAGACGAGATGTAAAGCGTTTGGGAAGATTTCAAAAGGAGTAGGGAAAACACAATTGACCATTTTGACTCCTTGATTTTTTGCGATTCTGCCCAGGAGTTCAAAATCTCACGTGCAAGTGTTTTCCAGCATTCTCATGACGAGTATGATAGTTTTGGAATTCGTCATCGTTGTTTTGTGGCATTATTTGATATTCGTATTAATTAGCATCTTACGTATTTATTATTAGTCAAACTTTTTTAAATTTTCCTTTCGTACTTTAGGTTGGCTAAAAAGTAAGTTCCTATTGGCATACAAATTGTCATAAAAATTTTTCTTGTTGCTTTCAAACTATGATTCTTTGTGGGAAAGTAGCTCGAAGCTTCCTCTATCATACTCCAAATAATCAGGATTTTCTATTGTCAGCAAAGACAGTTATACCTCAACATGGCGAAATTTCCAAAAGCTCAATTCTTTGACTTCTTGAGCTTGGTTTTCATGCTGTAATGGATGTAAAGAACAGCAGTTTGGTGTTTGAATACAGAGGAGTTATCCCTATTTACTGAACAACAAAAAGAACTGTGATCTGCCATTTTGAAAATGTTCCACTAAGAAAACCAAATTTCCTCATATTTGCGCATTATGGGAAAATTGCGATTTTTCACTCCTTTGCGGATTTTTTCGTGGGAAGATAAGTTTTACTCAACCAAATATATGCTCCAATAGCCAGTGAAGTGCTCTTTTCAGAGATACCAAACATTGGACAAAAATTTGTCTACAGCATTTGTAAGAGCTGAAAAAGCGACCGAACTTATTTATTAGCCAACCTAATATATTTTACAATTAGCCCCAATTCGAGACCTTGAAAAACAAATAAAATGTCATTTTCCTAACCAGTGAAAAAGTGAACCAGTGAAAAACAACCTCACAGGACAAAGTTTGAGGAGAATCTACGGTTTTTTTACCTCTTTCAATATGGCTACCGTAATCCTTTTCAAACGAACGTATGTAACGCGAAGGAGTTGGATGTCACCTCACCTTTCAATTAGCGCATTCTTCGAGTCCCCTATGTAAAAAATAGAGTAGGATTTGGGGGCCGAGGGGGGAGGGTGTTCAAGCTTCTTCGTGAATAATGAGACAAGAAATGGTGCAACAACAAGGCCTAGTTAAAATCTGCGTTTATTAAACCTTTGCAAGTCACTCACTGAGGCATCCATTCGGGTTAGCATTCGGATAATTTCCCAACAACATGTGCGTACTTTTCAACATTTTTTTCACAGACAAGCTCATTCAAACCAAACAGCAAGAGAAGAGATCAGAGGCTTAGTTTTTATCTGATATAGCAGTTCTTTAGATTCGTCAAATTTCTTATATTTTAGTCACATAACACTTTTACGTTGTCTTCAAATAACCCAAGCAACTTTCGGTGACCTGAACGATTAGCCACGCTGACACGCATACTAGAATAGAGAAACTCTGTTATCCTGCATTGTACCTCTCTGATATTTTTTGTTAATTCTCTTCCAATTATTTTCATACTTCAATACGTGATATTCACAGTTGAACTCAAAACTAACACTATATTCCTCGTGATTCTTATTGCACTCAATGAATACCGAACGCAAAGGTGTCTATATTTTATTTGGTGCGTGTACAAGATGAGCAAGTGTCACAATTACCAGCTTGGTAGATTCCTTGACCACAGTAGGCTTTTGTTTTGAAGCTGCTAGAAATGGGCAGAGATGACAAAAAATGCGTAGTATTCATGCAAATTTTTGATTCGAATTATCGATGAGATTTCAGATCGATCTATACTTTCCCGTCATGTCAACTTTGCAGTTCATTTTCTATATGGGATGGATGAAGGTAACAAACTGAAGAAATTTATATAGTGATCTTTATTGTTTTCCCGAAAATTCTAGGTTGCTGAGGCAATGCTAAATCCCTTTGGAGAGGATGATGACGACTTTGAATGCAATGCTCTCATTGATAGAAACATCACCGTAAGATTATCCTTACAATCCGAGGAACAAATAAATAAATTATATATGTTTAGATGGTATTGATGATGGTAGACCAAGGATATGATCGACCACCAGCTCTGAAACGAGATCCATTTTGGGATGAAGAAGTGGAACCTCTCTATTCTGAAGAATCAGCTAAAATTCCTACGCATCCTCTCAAGGGATCGGTTAGCGAAATTAGGTTAGTATTTTGTGAGACTTACTGTATCTTTACTTGTGGTATAGCTTACATTCCTTTTACTTTTTTTCCTGTTAGTTTGGGTATACCTTGATGAATGCTTCGCCGAGAAGGTGGTCTCAAAGGCCACGAACTTTTCGTTCGACTTCGCTTCTTCACTTTCTTCACTGTACTCTCAATTATCGTGCTCTCTTGCTGTTTGTATGACTCTCGCTTGGAGTCACCCTCACTGAGAAAAGATATCGCGAATATTTTATAGTCATCATAGGAATTTTGGATGTGAGAAAGATGGTCTGCCTCAGCAAAAAAGGAAGGAAAGGAAAAAATGTTTTCTTCGCGAAATTGTTATGTTAACGTGTGTGAAAGACTAAATATCCAGCTTTCACACCCTGCTGAAAACACTGGCTTTGGATCCACTGATTCCAAAAAAATAACATTTTCCTTTTCTCAGCCCTTGTGCCTTCCTAGACTTTATGGCTTGAGTGGTCAAATTGAATGGTCCTCGCCAACACCTTTCTTATCTCTTCATTATTCTGGGAAGCGCAAGTCTGTCAAAAGTATAGCAAGGATGACTGATTCAAGACAGGGTCGGCACAGGTGGCTTACAAGCAAGTTAGATATCGTTTTTGGGACAGAAAGCAAAGGGATTTCGTTTTTGTGGTCGAAAAGACACGAAATTTGCGACGTTTTTTAGTCGATGTTTCGTTTCTTAGAGATTTTCTAGGGATTTTGGTCTAGGATCAAAGGGAAAATAATTTTTATCTTCGTAAAAATTCGCAAAAATCAAGGGGACTTCGTTTTTTACATTTTCTTGATTTTAAGAGTCTGGGTCTGGTGCTAGCATACCACTTTGATAAGGAACTTAGTTACCGAACTTAGTTACCTTTAGCACAAGTATACCAATATCTCTCGCGTTGAAAATCATGTGGCACGAAATAGACTTGCAGGGCTGTCGATTTAGCCATACTTCGTGGTGAAAGTGATAGTCGTTGTTTAGGTTGCCAGATCACGTGCAAGAAATCAGGATGGTGCCACATTGTGATGATCGTCATCCTCTAATTGATTCTCCAAATCTAAGGAGAAGAGTTAGTGTCGTCCCTGTTACACAGTAAGTTTTCCTTTGATTATGAATGTGTATATTATTAAATGGCAAACTTTAGGCAGGAACAGAGACAACCGCGGCCATCTTTGGGCTCTCTGGAAATGTTAAGAAGTTTTAAAAACAAAGTTGAGAGGTACTTGTGGAATCTCAACATTTTCAAAAGTTTCTTGACGGCTTTTTTATTTCAGATCTCTTTCTCGTGGACAAATTTTTGATGAAGAACAACCCAGGAAGACAGTGTCTCACGGCCATCTTCCAGTTCTAGATGTCACTAAAGTTGAAGATGAGGCACAAAATGGACAAAAATCATTTGTCAACTCAGCATTTGAGACAAGTCAGTTTGGATATTCATTCAAGATGGGCTATCTTATTATGTGTTTACAGATGACGAAACGGACAAAAAAGACAACGACGGAAAGGAAGTCAAAAAATCAGCTTCCACAGCAAATTTGAAGTCTCCACATGATTTTCCTCATCATGTTCTAGACGATGTGTTGGAAGAGAACGAAGAGGAAGTAAAGGTTTGCTTCGAGTGGAAGAACAAAGTGAGCGGAATAAATGTGCTTTCTCTAGACACTGCGCAAGAAAAGCGTGATAGAACCTGGAGGATTTGTGAGCTCGACCGGCACGGCATCAAATACAGAAGAAGATAACTCCAGCACTCCACTCTCACCACCAACTGATGCAAAAGCAGAGGAAAGCAAATCTGATACTCCGATTTCACCCCAAACTGATGAAGCAGAGACTACAAGCAAACGAAAAACCAGTGAATTTACCATTGGCCATGACAGCTGATTCCCATTATCACAGCTTTGCCTATGCTTCTTCTTCCGCTGCTTCCAGCGGAGAAATTCGCAGTGCACACTGCTTAATCCTCATTTTCTAATCAGGTGCAGTACATAGGGCAACATTCGCAGCTATTATGTTTGTTAACTACTATGTTATGGGTACATGTTCACTCCGCTCATATCGCTGGTATCACTGGTCACCGAAAATGCTGTGATTTATGCAGTCACATTGAGGTATGCCCTGCCTACTGCTGTTTTTGTACCTCAAGCTGTTGTATAATTAACTAAATCATTTTTCAATTTTGTTTTTGCACATATACAAAGAGCCTCGTTGCTCTCTTATGTCTTGGGAAGCAAATTCGATTAGACGTGCAAAAAGGAGCGTAAGGAGTTGAGGGATGTTTGTTGTAGTCGTATTGAAGCGTGCTCTCACTATGAGCAAGTATCCACAGTACTTCCTAGCTAAAACGCAGTATGTATTAGGTTGCCCCAAAGTAAACCCCTTTTTAGATAATCTAAGCTGTTGTTTTTCCTGTAGATTTAGGAAACATACGATAGAGCCGATCAAGCTTTACAAAATGATCACCAAAGATCCGCCTAAGTCGCATTCCATTGAAAGTTGAAGCCAAAATCGAAAGAAATTTTGTCATCTAAAAATTGGATTTTTGCGGAAAAAACCTACGGACCTCCAACTTGTTCATTATACAGTAGTACTTAAATACCTTTTAATGGGTTTTTCCCACGCATAGAGGGCGAGAAGAAAAGGTAGTCAAAAATGGCAAAACTCCGCCCTCAGCCCCTCCCACATATGCCCTTGTATACTACAAGCCTTACTAAATATAGTCGGACTTTCACCTCTGTATGTACTCTTACAATCGAGAAATACCAAGTTTTATATGAAAAACCTGAAAAAAGCGGCATTTTGGCGTTTTTGGACCATCCTTGCTTCTCAATTTTGAATCCCGGAAAAAATCAACCAAATACATTTTTTCACATACTACTGTGTCTGCTGTGTGTCTGTCTATAAAGACCAAATTGGAAGTTCGTAGGAATTTCCTGAAAGGAGATTTGATTTTAGGATAGCTGAAAAATTTGAATTTTTGGGTTCAAATTTTGCCTGAAATCCGGGTTAGTTAGAACCATGGGGTTTTTTTCTGTAGAGCTTGCTCCGCTCTATCGAATGGTACCCTAAGTCTTTGGGAAAACAGAAACATCTAAATTTATCTGAATGTGGAGTTTACTTTTGGGACAACCTAACAATAGTACATCTCTTATTTTAAAAACAGCGAGTATGTTTCACAACTAAATCGTAAAATCTGACTTCATTTTCAAAATGCTTATATATGCACATAACATGGGGAAGCAAACACAAAGCCGCGGAAGGCTGAGCCTTCAAAAAGTATATAAACAGTGGAGACAGGGTGGACAAAAGAACTTTGGGAAGTTCTTTTGTTCATTTTTTTCTGTACGAAGATTTTGTAAATCAAGATGTTATGATTTTCACGGTGTTCAACACCAGCTGGTAATACGGCTATTACATCTTTTCTTATTCCTCAATATATACATATACAAGATTTAGTGTTGTTGAAGGTTTCCTTAGTATGTCCGCTATATAAACTTTTATGTATGGACCGACATCCCGCTTTTTCGCGTAAACAATAGCAGTACGGCCCATCTCGTCTTCGGAGAGAGTTGTTGATTTGAAACGATTAGGAAGGTAAGCTCATCCATAGAGGGGGAGTCGCAATCATAGTTGCGATAGGAGGAGTGATGGATTTCACCCCCTTCACTTTGAGGCCAAACTCCCTATGACCCCCTTCACCTGGGTTGAGATTGGTATTGTACTCTGAGAATATGATAAAAATCGTTATCAAAAGGTTTTGCAGGCTAAGTACCTCAAACAACAAGTACACTCATAAATTTACGAAAGAAACGGTATTTATGTTTATTTATATTATTTATTTATCCTCGTAGCATTCATTTGGAGAGTTGGAAGTGAGGACAAAAAAGCAGTTGGTTTTTGGAGTACATAAAATCCCTCATATCTCGTGGCACAGAAGACCTAGAAAAATGTCGACGGTCTAAATCGATTCTTCATGATCTCAGCTTTCGAATGGTATAAAGCATGTTAGGGCTTTTTTGCTTTCCGGCTCTAAAAATCATTTGCTCCGGTAACCGATAAAAGCCAATACATTGGTGGAGCTGGGTGGAGCAAGGTAGTAGTAAATATCTCCACCCCATTTTTGAGGACTGGAAAGTTTATTCGCCCAGCAACCTGTATACCATTCGAAAGCTCAGGAAAAGGAGATTCGACCTAGACCACCGTCGACTTCTTTTCAGCCCCCCTCTACCGAGAGATACACCGCATTTTATCTGAAAACATGTCCATCTTCAACACCAGATTTCTGCCAAAGGAAGTCCAGTCACTGTTGATTATCTATCTGTGTCATAGAGCAAGTCTTCATTAACAAACATAGACCGTCGACCTTCTCGTAGCATTCATTTGGAGAGCAGAAAGTGAGGACACAAAATCAGTTAATTTTTGAAGTACATAAAATCCCTCATATCTCGCGGCACAGAAGACCTAGAAAAATGTCGACGGTCCACGTCGATTCTCCACGATCTCAGCTTTCGAATGGTATACAGCATTTTAGGGCTTTTTGCTTTCCGGCTCTAAAAATCATTTGCTCCGGTCCATAAAAGCCAACACATTGTATAGGTCGTCCCCGAAAGTCCTTGCGCAAGATTTTTAAAAATTCATAACTTCTGATTTTTCCAACCGATTTGACTGCTTCTATTTTCGTATAAAACAGTAAGTCATGTTTTTCATAACGACATCTTATCTGCTTACTAGTAGTCATCTGTTGCATAGATAGGAGCGATAGAAGAAAATTGGTCAAAATTTGAATTTTCTGTGTAAGGTCATGAAAAATCGGAGACTTGCAACAAAAATCGGAGCAGTCAGTATTGTAGGTTCTTTCACCAGCTCTTTCTAACAGTGAAAGTTTGCGCCGATTGAGCTTTTCTATGGAAAGTTATGATTTCCCTGAAAAATGCCAAAATAAACCAAATTCGCCCTTTTGTATTGCTTGCTCGGAAATCATAACTTTTCATAGAGACCCTCAATCAGCGCAAACTTTGCACCGTTAGAAAGAGCTGGTGAAAGAACCTACAATACTGACTGCTCCGATTTTTGTTGCAAGTCTCCGATTTTTTATGACCGTACACAGAAAATTCAAATTTTGACCATTTTTCTTCTATCGCTCCTATCTATGCAACAGATGACCATTACTAAGCAGGTGAGATGTCGTTATAAGGAGCATGACTAATCCTTTCACATAAAAGTGAAAGCAGTCAAATCGGTTGGAAAAATCAGAAGTTATGAATTTTTGAAAATCGTGCCCAAAAACTTTCGGGACGACCTAATAAGAGAGAAGTGGAGCAAGTTAAAGTAAAAAATGTGCTGTGGATTGACATCGTTATCAGCACTAACGAGAACGTGAGCGAACGCGTCTATTTAAGCTTATCGTTGTTATATGTTTATGTTTTTTTGGTAAAAAATGCGCTTTTGATTGACAGTTATGCCATCATTATTAGCACACACTCAAAAAACTATGGGAGATTGGTGAATTTCCACACTTTCACACAAAAACCCGCCCATTTTTGGAATCTATACTCTGTAAACCTAGTGCTGAAGAAGGTCACTTTCGTGAAAACGCTCTAAACTCACCTTACCTAATTTGTAGGGAATGGTTGGTTTCAATGAATCAAAACTTTAAGACATTCAGAAGAATAACATGTTATTAAAATATCCCTCAATGTTTTGGAAAGGTTGGCAGTTTGAAGAGGAAACGGCAGGCAAAATACTTTACAAAATCGCATATGACTCGCATGTGTTCCAGTTCAACAGCGATGCAGAAGGAAAATCTTACGCCGACGAAAATGTTGTCGACATTGATACAGAGTTGACAATTGAGCGAACCTCTCCGATTTCCGACATAGGGAATCCAAGCAGATTGCTTAGTTTCAATGAGGAAATGTCCAGGAAGTCCATTGCTGATCTTCAGGTTGCTGAAGATTTCAAGGCTTCTAAATTCAAAAACATGGATATGAACAAAAGGAAGGTGTTAGTACAAAGCATAGCTACTGCTCTTAGATCCCGACTGGAGTGCGAACCCAACTCTGTGCTTTATGCTTTTGGAAGTTATTCGCTTTGTGACATTATGACCTATGATATTGAAAAAAAAACCAACGCGCAGCATAGTATCTACTTTTTTCGGCTATTCCGCAGATGCTGTTCAAGAAGAAGTTGAGCAGCTTACTCATCAGCTAACAGGACGTATGCCAGAGGAGGTGAAGTCAGAGTTCGACAAGGCCCAAAAAAGTATGCAATATTTCCTTCCCGTGTTTCGAAAGCATATGCGATCTGGCTCTTTCCCCATTACTTACCGCAAAAATCTGATGGACTTACTAGCAAAGCTAGATCCCATTCCGACTAGCACGGCAGAGGTGGAGAGGGGATTTTCTATCTACTCTGTTATCAGAACACAACGCAGAAGTCGCATAACGGTGGAGCATCTAAGCAATTACTTAAGGTTTGTCAACCTTCTACTAAACATATTGTTATCTAAAAAGTTCGTGTGAGTTCATTAGCCAGTGGCAAACCGATGGCGGGGGGGGGGGGGAGATAGACAGGTTTCTGAAAGCAGCTTATATGCGTTATTAGTGGCTAGCGATAGTGATATTATTGATAACTAGCAATCGACATCGATCGATAACGAAAAGTGGACTGTGACACCCGCCGGGGCCCGAAGGGTATGTGTGCCAAGTTTGGTCCCGATCGGTTCAGAAATGGAATTTTCTATTCGGAACATACGTACACACACACAGACAGACAGACATACAGACACACAAACAGACATTCAGCTTTGTATATAAGATGATGTGCAGGAATTGTAAGTTGTTCCCAACTTGTACGTCTTTTGGGGTAAACCTTATTGCTTTCGTTTTTTGTTATTGCAATGAAACAGGAGCACGGATCTTCATAAAGTCAATTTTTTTAAAAAATCTTTTAATTTTTTTTGAAAATTTTTTGAATTTTTTTCAATTTGTGCCTAAATAAGGTACAAATTAGAGCTCTTCATACCACGCTTGTTTACCTTTTCTCTCTTCCTCCCCCCTAGACTCACATAACCCCTTCACCCTGGAAGGTCGGGAACAGCCGAGACCCCCTTCACCTGGGGAGAGCCCGGCTCCCCCTATCGCACCTATGGTC